CAGAGAGAAGAAAAAAAAAAAAAAAAAAAAAAATAAAAAAAAATCATCACAGTGCAGTACTCAACTCGAATTCAACTGGGAAACGATAAAGTATGTACGAGCGTATACCTACATATGCAGCCCACAGTATCGCTTCGGACTCCATTCCCGTGCGTTTGATTTAGACGAGAAAAAGGAAAACGAAACAGGAAACCCAAGAAGAAACGTTAGAAACGTATACTTAATGCATGCAGCAACACAGGGGTGATGCACCTCTAACGCACCATGGGTACACCTAAGCAGAGGGGAGGGAGGGAGGGGGGGGGACAACCACACGAGCGTGGTGTTTTTTTGTTTTGTTTTTTTTTTCTTCATTGCCAGCGCTCTCGACCGCGGCACTGCTATACACGCATCGCCTTATCATTGCCGATCATCTGACCGCAGCGCCGCGCGTATATCCTTCCCGTCCCGCGGCAGCTTCTCATTGCTCCGTTGCTTCCGCGAATCCGTTCAACGCGGGAGCAGTAAAGAGAGAGAGAGAGAGATTAAAAAAAAAAAGCTCGATCTACGCGCAGATATTTCACGTGCATACACACACATGTATACATGCAAGGTACCCCCATCTTCCTCTTATCTCTCTCATCCGTCTCGCGGGCGCTGCACCGCCAATACACACACACACATGTATATCATCGTCCCTCTGCCGCTGCTTATCGCGCGAGCGCCAAGATTTTCAGAGCGTCGGGAAAAATCGTGATTACTTTGCGCAATCGCCTTTGCTCTGTATACCTATGTTGCTCTTAATTAAACATTGCGCCGTTACGGCAAATAAATAAATGAGTACACCTGTAAGTCGTTTTCATCGCGATCAAGGAAGCCTCATGCGCGCGAGCTCTTTAGTATTTTTTTTTTTTTTTATCAATTAATCGATGCCACTCTGGCTGAAATTAAAATTAAAGACGATGATATGAGTACCGATGGTCGCTAAATGAGATCGAATCTATAAATGTATACCTATGCGATGAATGTTATTTGTTCGTATAGCATAGGTATACTGAAGTAAACCGTAAGTATCTAAAGTATCGGGAACGCGCATTTTTTGGCCTCCCCTGTTTTACATGAATAAACATACTGTAGGCATATGTATTGTGTACTAATACGTTTAAATATAATATAAATCTGTTGTTTCGCTTCACTCGATAACTAAGTACCAACTAAAATTTTACATTGATAATCTTTCGATTTCTAATTGTGTATGTTCGTAAATTGGTGAGTTTTACTTTATTTTACGTGTGTTTTGTTGTACCTATGGTGGTCGTGATATATATTGTCCACCAGCTCTCAGCGGGTCATTTTTCTCTAATGGCCCATCTCTTATGCCTGTGTGCATATATATACATCCATACAATTCCCTGTTTGCTCAACAGGTTTGAGAATTCCTCTATCCCGTCCACAATACCGCAGCATCCCTTTTCTCTCTCGATATCAAACAAATCACACGAAATAGCTCCGTATATTTTACAGTGCCCGTATATATATACATGTATACAATATGTATGGGTATATGATTCCCCCCTTTTTTTTCTTTTTTTTTTTTTCTTTTTTTCTTTTACTCCCCAACCACGACATGACAGATCCAGTGATGGTGATAAGAGTTATTAATACGAGCCAGTGCGGTGCATTCCGCGCCGAGTTGATGCGGTGCCGAGAAAGTTTCAGGGATCGCTTATCTTGCGGTGCACCCGAGATTCTAGTCGTGCAGGAAAGTAGTTATGGAAATTTCGACGTGAATATAGGTATACGCTTTTTGGTTTTCCCATATGTTTCTTTTCTCGAAACCCCCCGTCTCTCGTTTTCTTTTCAGTATACCAGCCCTCTGTGCGCACAGCCTTTCACGAAAAACGAAAGACCCAGTGGTTTTCCGAGAATCACACACACACACACACCCATATATATATATATGTATCTATTGTGTCCCCGGCAACGTACATGGCCATTATAGCTAGAGACAGATAAAATAAATGATAATATATATAAATGACATTTTATCGTGGCTTAGTGACCGTGAGGAAGTATCTTGCTTTCGTTAAATAAATCAATCAGGCCACAGCACTTCTTTTTCTTTCTTTTTTTTTTTTTTTTTTTTTTTTTTTTTTTTTTTTTTTTTTTTTTTTTTTTTTTTTT